ATCAGGCTCTCCTCTCCTCTTTCTCTGCTTCGATCTCTCAGGCAAAAAGCACTTTCTTTCAAGATAAGATCCAATCTTCCTATTCCAATCCTAAAAAACTATTTTCCATCTTCTCCACCCTCTTGGACCCTCCAAAGCCCCTTCCCCCTCCTCCCTTCTGTCAAGCGACTATGTTACCCACTTTGAAAAAAAGGTTGATATATTCGCTCTTCTTTTTCTGACTCACCTTTACTCACCGCTGGGTCACCAGACCTTCCTTCCACCAACACACTAACCTCCTTTTCCCCTCTCTCTCCAAGTGAGGTTCTTACCCTCATTACCTCTGCCCGCCCTACCACCTGTCCTCTGGACCCTATCCCCTCAAACCTCCTTCAGACTATCGCTCCTGATATTCTACCGTTTCTCTCCCATTTCATCAACACTTCTCTAACTTCTCGTCACTTTCCAAACAGTCTCAAGGAGGCAAGAGTAAACCCTCTCCTAAAGAAACCCACTCTCAACCCGTCTGATGTTATAAACTACAGGCCTGTCTCTCTCCTCCCGTTCCTGTCTAAATCACTTGAACGCGCTGTCTTTAAACAACTCTCCTGTTATCTCAATCAGAACAACCTTCTGGAACCGCACCAGTCTGGTTTCAAGGCAGGTCACTGAACAGAAACTGCCCTCCTTGCTGTCTGATGAACTGCACACTGCCAAAGCAGCATCCCTCTCCTCCGTCATCATCCTGTTGGACCTGTCTGCTGCATTCGACACGGTGAACCATCAGATCCTCCTTCGCACTCTCCAAGAACTTGAAGTTTCAGGCTCTGCACTTTCCCTCCTCACCTCATACCTCAAAGACCGCACCTACAGGGTTACTTGGAGAGGGTCTGAGTCCGACCCTTGTCAATTAACTACAGGGGTTCCTCAGGGCTCTGTTCTTGGTCCTCTCCTTGTACACAAACTCGCTCGGATCAGTCATTAGCCCGCTTGGTTTTTCATACCACTGCTACGCTGACGACACCCAATTAATTTGTGCGACCCAGGTCGTTGCACGCATCTCTGCTTGTCTAGCTGACATCTCTCAATGGATGTCTGCTCATCACCTCAAGCTCAACAAGAATTAACTGCTTTTCCTTCCGGGAAAAGATTGTCCCACTCTTGACCTAACAATCAACATCGGCCCCTCTGTTGTTTCCCCGACTCAGACTGCAAGGAATCTGGGTGTGATCCTAGATAACAACCTGTCCTTCACTGCAAACATCGCTGCTACAACCCGCTGCTGCAGATACACGCTTTACAACATCAGGAGGATACGTCCCCAGCTGACACAGAAAGCCACGCAGGTTCTGGTCCAGGCTCTCGTCATCTCACGCCTAGACTACTGCAACTCCCTCCTGGCTGGTCTACCTGCATGTGCCATCCGACCTCTGCAGCTCATCCAGAATGATCTCGTCTGGTCTTCAACCTTCGTAAATGTTCCCACGCTCCTCCGCTCCCTTCACTGGCTTCCGGTAATTGCTAGAATCCACTTAAAAACAATGGTACTTGCGTACCATGCTGCGAATGGATCTGGCCCTTCCTACATCCAGGACATGGTTAAACTGTACACCCCAGCACGTGCACTACGCTCTGCATTAGCCTAACGACTCGCTGCACCCTCGCTGCGAGGGGGACCCAAGTTCCCATCAGCAGAAACACGTGGGTTTGCTATCCTGGCTCCAACATGGTGGAATTAGCTCCACATTGAAATCAGGACAGCAGATAGCTTGCACATCTTCCGGCGCAGACTGAAAACTCATCTCTTTCGACTCCACTTCGAGCGATAGAATTACTAACAAAGCACTTCTATACTAATAAAGGACTGGCTTATCTAAAGCCAGTTGAGTAGCACTTGAAATGTTTGGCTCTATGAAACCTAATGTACTTATATGATTATGTTTTCTTCAAGGTTGTGTCTTCCTGGTCGAATGTACTTATTGTAAGTCGCTTTGGATAAAAGCGTCAGCTAAATGTAATGTAATGTCACAGGAACACGCTTTGCTGGCGGTGAAAAGAATCCCACCAGACTCCTTTGCCCCTCCAACAGAGGGATGTCCTTGTCCTTTTCGTAATTTCAAGCGATAAAAACTCTTTTGGACGCCCTTGGCTCGAGTGCAGGGCGTTCCGAGCTGAATCAGGGCGTCAAATGACGGCAAGACACCCGCCTGGCGGAAACGCTGGAATTAGGAATATATTGTGATGAAGTGCACACTGACCTGAGCTCCAGGGGTCTCCTTGTTCTCCTCCATGCTGCTCTCAGGGCTCCTCCTCCGGCTGGGTCTCTGAAATAATCAACACAACTACAGCTGACACCAAACAACCGACAGACACAACAAAACTAATCTACTTCGTAGGGTCATATCAGAGGTGAGAAGTAACACACACACACATCGCGATAACAAGTCCACAGTACGGTATTTATCGCAATATTGAATAATAAAGGGAAAAAAAAAATTCAAATTTTCTTTTTTCAATAAAACTTTTTTTTGCTCGGAAAATGTTTCTTTATTACATAATAAATCTGATTTGTACAGCATTTTAGTTGGATAGCAGTATTTTAAAGTGTCAAAAACAAAGTGACAGTAACAGACTGGAACAACAAAACCAGTGTTTTTGTACCTACAGTATAGTACTACCAAACAAAGTAGGCATTTTATTTGTGCCACTGCATCTCATAAATAAACAAGGACATTTAATAATCAGACCCTGCAATAGAATAACTCAAGTTTCACTTTAGTTTTTCAAGTAACTCAACTCTAACTCTCTCACTCAGCGTCATCAAGGTTATCTTTTAGGAATATGAGCATGTCCACATTTCCAGTTAGAAGCTGGGATGTTTGGGCGTTTGCAAAATCCCCTGCTGTGGAAACAACTCTCTTGCTTGGTACTGATGTTGCTGGGACAGAGAGATATGCTTTGACCATGGGTGACAGTAGTGGGTCAAACTGTGCATTGTCTCCACCACTTCAAAAACAATACAGTTGTTGCCAAGAAGGTGAGGCTTATTGACAGAGATATAAACATCCTGTTGGTACTTGTCAGTGTCTGTAAATGTAGCCCTTTAAATACGATGTCCTTTTGTGTTATCTGTTGTTTTATGTTCATGTTGTAACCTACTTGCTGCCATGTTGGACAGGTCTCTCTTGAAAAAGAGATCGATGATCTCAATGGGACCATCTGGTTAAATAGTATTTTCACAAATAGAATTAAGGTTTCACAAATCTGAAACTGTGTTACAAAGAATGTTTAGACTCTCTGGGATAATCTAGTCGCTATGCAGCGATTGAAGAGGTACACACATGGAGGATTGTTCGCTCAGCGCTGTAAATTAAATGTCCCTTAACTTTCCCCTTAACTGCCGAATCGGAAGCCAACTTCAGCGTCGTCTCCAACAACTATACTGTGTTTTCGGTATATTGTGTATTCTTTCGATGCTCTGTGTCCTGTGTGTAAACTTGCTGCTAATGCTTAATTTGTATTACATCTTATTACATCTTATACATATGTGTAACTGTAATGCCTGAAAACACTTCTGCTGTGACACAATCATTTCCCAGTTTAAGATAAATCATTATTTAAATAAAGTTTATCTAATGAGCTAAAGTTAAACCGTCGCTTAGCGTTAGCTGCTAACTGAAGAACCCCATGCATTTCAATGGGAAAAATGCTACGTCGTGGTGAATGGCGATGCTAATTAGCTAGTTAGCATATATTTAAAACCATATCTATGGTAAAGAGCACCAACACAACAACTCAAACAGTCTTAAAGACAACTGGTGTAATAAATAACTAACATAAAGTCAGCTGAGCATTACAAATCAACTGTTACTCACCCAGAGCCGAACTGGAATAACTAGCGGCACACAGTTTGTTTGTGAGGGTTACGTGCCGCAGTGGGTGCTTTTGTGTGTGTTTCTCTCTCTCTCCCTGATTGTCTCCAGGTGCAGCCTCTCCCCCAGGTGAAGCCTCTCCCACAGGTGCTCCCAATCCCCAATCAGGGGCTCCTTAAAGGACCTGAGGAAGGCTGCAGTGGCCTCTCTCATTCTTCTCTGGCCGCATGTGTGCAGCCTGTGTTACGTAGTGTAAGTGTAACCGTAGTGATGGCTAGATGAAGCCTTATGAAGCTTTGAAGCTTTCCAGCCAATTGGTTCGCAAAAGGATTCATCTCATGAGGCTTCATCATGGGCTTCATTTGAACACAAACCCCCTGTTGGTCAAAGTGTGTAAAACAGGCAGATTGGACATCTCAACAGTGTGCTCTATCTCATACCGAGTTCCCAATGAGTAAAGCCTTAGAATAACTCTAAACAACGAACATTAAATCATATCTTCATGTTAACAATATTGTATTTATTACAGTTCAATGATTGTGATTGAAAATCCTAAGGAGGCTGCTAAACATTGCAAAGAGAGATTTGTATTCCTTAATAATATTCGTAAACGTAACGATGTTGTAGCCTGAGAAAGGCTAAACCATATCAAAGAATACATTATTAACAACATTATCTCATTTAGCTGTAGCTTTTATAAACAACAAAAAATACGTATTGTTCAGTCGTTGAACCAGGGACCCTGCGGTCATGAGTCAACTGCTTTCCAGCTGAGCCACAGCACACACGCTAAAGCTCCCTGAAAACACTGGAACATATGTAGTCCTGTATTTATTCATTTATTTATTTATGTTTTTATTCCTACATTTATTTATGCCTGTATCTATTTATACTTCTGACATGTTCCGACCTCTATATGAGTGAGGGTCTGAGCTCTCTTGATTCCATCGTGTCACCGGGCCCGGGTACAGGAAGGGTAACATCGTTCTTATCATACATCCATGCGTTGTGGTTCAACCGATCTGAATCGCTTCGTGAAGCAGTCACGTGGTATCGACAGGCAGCGAGGCTTCGTTTGTCATCGATGACGTCACTGGCCCAACACCATACAAGCCTCGACACATGCTTCACAAAAAGCTTCGGGGATTACTCGACACACGCTCCGAAGCCTCGGCGCAATACGTAACATCACTATGTAACCGTAACCGTAAGTGTAACCTTTGTACTGATTGTAGGTATTGTCTAAACGTTAGTCACTATCTTTTGGAAGAAAGTTGTCCTTATTTACTTAAGTTTGTTTTGCAATTTCAATCCCGTGTTCCTGAAGCAGCTCTGTGGTGGTCTTCATCAGGACCCAGTGTTCCATGAGAGGAGATTCTGGGAACACTTCTCAGTGTTTCCAGTTTAAAAGAAGCTTTATGAACGCAGCCCCAGGTGTGTGTGTGTTCTCTGCGATGAACCTACGAAGTAGTTTGTTTGGTTGTGTCTGTCTGTTGTATTGAGTTGTTTTGTGTCAGCTGTAGTTGTGTAGATTATTTCAGAGACCCAGCCGGAGAAGGAGCCCTGAGTGCAGCATGGAGGAGAACAAGGAGACCCCTGGAGCTCAGGTCAGTGTGCACGTCATCACAATATATTCCTAATTCTCGCTTGCATGCCCTGCATAGCTATAAGAAATACTTAAGTTGTTGGTCAAGACACTTTCCATCTGATGAAGGCAAATGCCTCCCCAGATGTAGAAAAGATTAGATTAGAATCGTTAATGACCACACAGCCAGGCTGGTGGAATTCGTGTTCAGTGCAGATTATTACAGCTTGTTCCATACAATAAACAGACAATAAAAAGTACAGCACAGGGCAAATACATACATCATGACATATATACATAAAGTTCAAGGTGTGATTGTTCATTGGGGTTATTCATTTAGTGTCCGTATTGCAAAGGGGAAGAAGCTGTTTTTGAAGCGGGCGGTTTTGGTGGACAGTGACCTGTAGCGCCTCCCTGAGGGCAGAAGTTGGAGGACATGGTGGGAGGGGTCAGAAATGATTTTCTTTGCCCTTGTGACAGTTCGTTGGTGGTGAAGTGATTCGAGTGATGGAAGGGGACTGCAGCATAGGCGGGGGGGCAGGGGGTGGGCATTGCCCCCCCCCCTAGTGGCTGAAATATGTGTTACAGCATTACTACTTCTAAAACTGTTCCAATACAAATATTTCATATATCAATATTTTAATAGATGTAATATAATGATTGTTACAATACAAATCTGAATAAAATTATTTTGTTTGAAATAATTTCATTTATTTATTCATTTAATTTAATTTCATTCAGGTTAAGGACACAAGTTTCCTTGCTTTTTTTACAAGTGATTCAGCTATTGTATTACAATAAGATATGCAGCGATTTTTAAAACGTCCAATTTCTGGGACGTTTAAGGCGTCTACTTCTGCACTAAGTAGGACACTGGTTAATAATATTGTAGCGTGTTCAAGTAACCAAGGGATATAGTAGTTCTCAAATAAGTATAAGATGTGCAGTTATGATACGTTTTACAGATGTAATGCACTGTTGTTGGGGGGGAGAGACTGCCCCTTCCATATGAGTGTGTGTGTACGGCGGGCATGAGGCGTGCATGACGAGACGAGTTGTGTTCGTATGTGGAAAAGTCATACTCAGTGCGGTGAACGCTGGTTTTTATTGCTACTGTATCCGTAGCATCCCACGCAATAGTTGGGACTGTGTACTGACGTCAGTAAAAAAGGTTTGCCCCCCCAAGCGCAAATGTCAAACTCCGCCAATGGACTGCAGGTGATTTTTTGACACGTTGAAGTTTATTCTGGGAGAGGTTGTCTGAACTGCTGTACCAGACTGTGATGGATGATTTGAGGATGCTTTGGATGATGGCTGTGTAGAACTGGATTAGGAGATGTTTCCTCACTCTGTATTTCTTGAGCTGCTGCAGAAAGAATAGCCTTTGGTTGGCTTTTTTGTAGATGTGCTCTATGTTGGTCCTCCATTTGAGGTTATTGCTTATGTGAGTGCCAAGAAATTTGAGTGATTCTGTGGTGGAAATGAGTTTGCCAGAGATAGATAGAGGTGATTTGGGCTGTGGCTTTCGCCTGAAGTCGATGATTATTTCTTGGGTTTTTGCTGTGTTAAGTAGGAGGTTGTTTTCTGAGCACCAGGTGACTGCTTGATGGATCTGAGTGAGGTATTGTGTTTCATTATTATTTGAGATGAGTCCTGTTATTGTTGTGTCATCTGCGTATTTATATATGTTGACTGTGGGGTGCTGAGATGTGAGTTGGTTTGTGTAGAGTGAGAATAACCAGGGGGATAGGACACAGCCTTGTGGAGCTCCTATACTGAGGTGCAGAGGGAGAGATGTGGAGTTATTTATTTTGACCCGTTGTCTGTTCCAGAGGAAGCTGTGGATCCAGTGACAGATGCAGGGGTCAGTGTTCATGTCCATTAGAGTTTTTCCGGGTTGATGGTGTTGAAAGCGGAGCTGAAGTCCAGGAACAAGATGCGGGCGTAGGTGTTGGGGGAATTCCAGGTGTTGTAGAGTGTGATGGATTGCCAGGTTGACAGCGTCATCCACGGATCTGTTGGTTCTGTAAGCAAATTGATATGGGTCCATGAGGGGGGAGGTGCTGGTTTTTAGGTGCCTGAGAATGATGCGCTCAAATGATTTCATCGCCACAGATGTGAGGGCTATGGGTCTGTAGTCATTGAGGCAGGATATTTTATTAGACTTGGGTACAGGGATGAGAGTGGATTCCTTAAAACAGTGAGGAACTGAACAATTAATAATAATAATAATTCCCCAGCACTCCCCCTTGGTCTGATGATCGGATGCACAGACCACTGCGCCACCCGTCCCGAACACTGGCAGAGGGAGGAGTTGAAGATGTTGGTGAAAACAGGGGCCAGTTCTGCAGCACAGTGATGGAGTGCCGCAGGGCTGATGTTGTCTGGGCCTGCCGCCTTGTTTCTCTTCAGTCTCCTGAACGTGCACCTCACCTCTGCCTCTTTGATGAGGAAGGGTGGGGGGGGGGGGGGGGAGATGGGGGTGATAGTGGAGAAACTGGAGAATGATCAAACCTGCTGTAGAAGGCGTTCAGTTTGTCCGGAAGCTGATGGTCATTTTCAGGTGGGGGGAGGGGGGGGTCTTTGTTTTGTAGTTGGTGAGGACCTGAAGTTTTTTCCAAACTGTCCTAGTGTTATTGTTTGAAATTTCCTGTTCTATTTTTGAAGCATAATTGAATTTTGGCTTTTCTTATTCCAGATCTAAGTTTGTATTTTGCAGCCATATAGTCCTCTTTATTTCCGGATTTGTATGCATAGTTTCTGTCCTTTCTTAATTGTTGACTTTATTTGGTGAACCAGGGGTTATTGTTTTTGTTTTACTGAACATTACATTCAGTTATAACTGCCAAAACAAACATTATTTACACTATTATGGCCCCTGTTAATAATGTTATCTACTGTTAGTTAGACCGAGCAGCAGTCGAGAGGAGCGGAGCACACAAAATGGCGACGTCCATGAAGAAAGACGGGTTGACCGACTTTTGGCAACTTTTTCATCGCTTTCCAACCAATTTGACTGCTGTCAGGCACTGACACGTCTCCACAATCGCCATAATAGATTGCCCGATCGGGCAACCAGCAGGTGAGGCTTCATTGCCCGAGCTAAATACTAGATTGCCTCGGGCCATCGGGCAGTCGTTAATGTCGAGCCCTGGATATGAACCAGAGTAGCAACAGTACCACCCCCTTGCTTATAGGCAAATTGGTATGGATCAAGTATGTCTTGTCCGTCACGGTGATGTATTTGTAGGAGGCCGATCACATTGTAGCTCTAGCATAGCCTCGCGGCTGTAGCAGCGTAGAGGCCGTGGCTCCTCGCCATACCTGTTCGTGCTGTCACTCAGGTGTGTCTTGGAAAGTTGAATGGCCAGACATGGTCAGCAGAAGGCAAATGTAATCCACAGGATCAAAAGCATGGTCTCTCAAAATGGCGTTTCATACAGACACGACAACGTTTTTTCTCCTGTAACCAGAGGTGGGAGTAAGTCATACATGTGCAAGTGTCAAGTTACTGGGGTGAGAGTCAATCAAGTCAAGTCCTACGAAATCCTGATGAATAACCCCAGTTTCCGCATTTAAATCAGTTAAAAGACAGTGGTTATGAAACTAGAGTTTTATTTTCCACATTAACAACAATGGAGAGTGGGGCTCTGAAATCATAAAACAGGTAATGGGGGAATAATTGTGGAGTTCAGTGTGTGTTTGCGTGTGTTTAAAACGTAGCAGCCTGCGGTTGCTCTTTAGCTGTTCTAATGAAGGTAAACACAGTGAAGTAAACAGTAAAAGGCACAGCTCTTTGCAGCTGGTGCTGCTCTTCTCAGATTCTGCTGAGTTACACGTTACTGCCTCCTGGTGCTGCAGAGATTTCATGAAGTGAAGGAGGTTTTCCTTCTACAAAACAGCTGTGGGCAGCAGATACTGTGAGAGTCACAGACATGAATACATAGATCAAGGCAGACTGGTTCACAGACTGTCCTGTTTTGCCGATCCGGTGCTTGAACAAATAACTCTACACCCCTACTCAAGTCATGTGACTCGAGTCCCCCACCTCTGGTATATAGAATGTTGCTGTATTACTGTATCAAATATAATACAAATATAATAAACACAAACCGTTGATAAGTACTATTTTGTTAACTCGAGGTTTATATTAAGTGAGTTTTTATTGTGTTAACTTGTGTATTTATGCTTTTTAGATTGACTTTCTCTCTTTCTCTGTCTGTCTGTTCTAGAAACCAAAAGGAAAGGAGAGACGTCACAGCTGTCAGCAATGTGACAAGTCCTATACAACATCTGTAACTTTAAAGCGCCACCTGCTTATTCACACAGGAGAAAACCCGTACAGCTGTGAAGAGTGTGGGAAAGCTTTCACTAGATCAGATGCTCTCAAAACACATCACCTTATTCACACAGGAGAAAAACCCTACAGCTGTGAAGAGTGTGGGAAAACTTTCACTACATCAAGTAATCTCACAATACATCACCGTATTCACACGGGAGAAAAACCATACTGGTGTGAAGAGTGTGGGAAAACTTGCACTACATCAAGTGATCTCAAAATACATCACCTTATTCACACAGGAGAAAAACCGTACAGCTGTGAAGAGTGTGGGAAAACTTTCACTAGATCAGATGCTCTCAAAACACATAACCTTATTCACACAGGAGAAAAACCGTACAGCTGTGAAGAATGTGGGAAAACTTTCACTACATCAAGTAATCTCACAATACATCACCGTATTCACACGGGAGAAAAACCATACTGGTGTGAAGAGTGTGGGAAAACTTTCACTACATCAAGTAATCTCAAAACACATCACCGTATTCACACGGGAGAAAAACCATACTGGTGTGAAGAGTGTGGGAAAACTTTCACTACATCAAGTACTCTCAAAAAACATCACCGTATTCACACAAGAGAAAACTCATAGTGGTTTTAAGAGTGTGGGAAAACTTTTTTTCTGAGTTGAAGTCTGACTAACAGTTGTTTGTTGTTATTATTATTATTGTTATTTACGGTGTTTTCTCTGTTCCAAAAATAAAATGTCCTTAGAAACAGACTCGCAACCCTTCATATTTGTTGTGTTTTGCAGCATATTATAAAAATGTCCACATCGCAGACCTGAAGTTGTGCAGTCAATGTATGCGAAGTGTACAGGACCTTGGTCTCTAAGACTCAAAAAAGCCTTTCTCGCCTACCTGTCCACTTTAAAAAAATTTTAATCAACATTTTCCAAGGCATTACATTTTGTAGCTTGTTTTCAATAAGTATATAAATGGTCCAAAGAGGTTGTATTCTACAGTCTGCCTGAATGTAATCATTGCGTAGGTGTGTAGTGTGATTCTGTGTAGTTTATTGATGGCATCCCGTTGGATTTGATGTCATCTGAACAGGACATCGCACGCTCACTGCTTGATAGCGCGAAGGTCCGTTTACGCCGGTTGTTAAACATCGTTTGGGGAAATGCAAGTCTGCGTCCAAATGGTTGGATGATAAGGAGGAAGGACAATCAATACTGTATATAGTCAATGTGAGGTAAAGTGTGTCGCCAAGGTAACCGGTTAAAACTCCAAGTGGCGATGAGGTCTTAAAATGTATGGAAAGGGTCTTAAAAGGTCTGACATGGGACTTCAGGATTCTACATATACCCTGTTTGCTGCCGTCACTCTTCACATTCTAACAGCAGACAGATCTTGGTAATCGGCCTCTCCAGCACACTGGTCTGTGTTTTAACTTTGACAGCTCGAACCAGTCCTTTAGTGTCTGCCATAGCTTCTAGCACTCTTCCCAGGATCCAAGAGCTACGCGGAGCAGTAGAGTCAACTACCATTACTACATCTCCAGGTTTAAAGCTTCTCTTCTCCTTGCACCATTTCTGTCTTTCTTGCATGAGGGGTAAGTGTTCCCGGCTCCAGCGTTTCCAAATGAGGTCTGCCATGTATTGCACCTGCTTCCATCGGCGTCTTACGTACAGGTCGTTCTTGTCAAAAACTCCAGGGGGCAGAATTGGCTTGGTTTTTTAAAGCAAGATGTGATTTGGGGTTAGAGGCTCCAGGTCTTGAGGGTCATTTGAGAATGTTGTGATTGGTCGACTGTTCAAAATGGCCTCTACCTCACATACAAGGGTTTGTAGCCCTTCTTCATCCAAAGTCACGCAGACTTTATCAGACGCTCCCATACTCCTCCATGGTGGGATGCTCCTGTGGGGTTGAAACTCCACTTTATGCTCTTTTGCAGCAGGGCTTCCTGAATGTACTCCACCCTTTAACACTGGATCAAGCTTGTAGAGGCTGCTTGTCTTTTTGACACCACGTTTTGTTGTTTGCAGTGCTGTCATTTCCTCTGGAAACTGGACTGTCTTTGGGTTTGGCATATGAAGGAGTTTTCTGCCTTCTCAAGATCTTCCAGAGTAATGGTCTGTCCACCCAGTGTGGCCTTCATGTTTTCTATTTTCTGCTCAACATTGCTTTTGTTTTGAGTATCGATGTTGGAGTCATTTAAATATATATGGAAATAAGCTCTTTTCTCATTTGAACGAGCCGATTCAAGCCTTCTTTGAACTTCAGGATCCATGCTACTGCAACTTGTAGTTTTCTCCAGCTGGAGAAATCCATGAGTAGCTTACCTGTAGGACTTTCTGTGACCATAACTGTGTTGATTATAGCATTTCTTTTGACCTCTAAATCATCGCAGGAGAGAGAGATGGATTCCAGGGGAAACAGCGGCCAGTCCTTTTCTGACTTCCAGAGCATTTCTGGGCCACGGATCCATGCTCTGTTCTCCATAAATGTGTCGGCCTTTTGTCCTCTAGAGGCGACATCAGCAGGTTTGATCTTTGTGTTCACATAGTGTTATGGAAATCCGAGACCCAATACTGTGGAGATTCACAAGTCAGAAAGATCAAAACAAATAAATGGTGAAACAGACAGAGTTGTCTTTCTGGTTATTTATTTGAAGCCTCAAATACAATACAAAGACACAGGTCTCACAGAGTATAGGATAGTCTGCAGGAGTGTGCGCAGTAGTAATAACATAGCAACGCTTATATACAGGAAAGGGCGGGAAGCTCAGAAATCTGTCTTCACACGGTCTCTTGTTATTAGACACCTGTCCTTGAGCTCAGAATAGGGAAGTTCTTGTGAGACTTTGTGTGAAGAGGAGTAGTCTCAACATAGTCTCACAAATCAGCTCTGTGGCCTTGAAGCGCTTGGGAATAACCCTCATTAGAGTATGCAGAGAAAACAGCACATAATAGGAAAATGGTACAGTAGTGTTAGACAATGCTTTTAGAAGCATTTGGTTTTAGCATATAAGGTAAGGTAAAGAAATGTCCACTACATTCTCCCCTTTTGATCATACTTGATCAATCATAAAAATAAAAAATAAATATGACATAACACATCAATGAATACACTTCATCGCTGGCTTAAGTAAACACATCACAAATATATCATAGAAAACTGGCTGTTTTTGTGGAGGACAGACTCCAATATAATGTAAGCATAAGAGGAGGGTACACATGGATTATATTGTAGTGTCGAAACCAGACTTCTGATTCTTGCTCACAAACAGGGGTACGGTGGAATGTACAAGGTATACGATTCTCGTAGCTGTGGCGCAAAGTAGGATTGTCCTGATGTGCTGTGTGCTGACCATGGATACATAAAATATAGCACTAGTCCTAACACAACTATCATGGCAAATATGCAGAGGAACCATTCTATGATTGTCCAGGCTCTCCAGTAGTATCCACATTGCTCACGGTTGCGTTGTCGTCTTTCCAGGCGAGCCCTCATCACGAGGCGGGAATGCTCCATGGGGTGTGTGTGTGTATTCCCTCGGTTGATTTTGTGACACGGACAGTCAGACTCCGCACACCGGTAACACAAAGGAGGAACCAGAGGCAAATGAAACCGCTCAGCTGGCACTCGCTCGTGACACCTTGTGTGTAGGGTGTGTTTTAGTGTATGTAGTGCAAGTGTGGTGCTGGTGGTGACTTGGCACGTCACTTGTTGTCGTCTTCCGTTGGTGACTCGGACACGTCACTTGTTGTCGTCTTCCGTTGGTGACTCGGACACGTCACTTGTTGTCGTCTGCTTCTACCGTTTCTCCTTTCCTGTGACTACGACCTTGCAGTGGCTGGCGTGGACCCACGTAGCTCTCTCGGCGACCTTGACCGCTGTCTGGGTGATGAGGAGCACCTGGTAGGGACCTTGCCAACGATTGGATTTCCAGCTCTTTCTCCGGAAATCCTTGACCAGCACGAAGTCGCCGGGTTGGAGATGGTGAAGTGGACCAGTGGCAGGGGTAGGCAAGGCTGCGGCTACCTGACGTCGGATGTCTGCTAAAGTGGATGGCAGGTTAACACAATATGACAACATAGCATCCTCACACAAAGTTGTGGAGGGAAGAGGACATCCTGGATTCTTGAGTCCAATCTGTGGAGGAGTCCCAAAAAGGATTTCAAATGGGTTGAGTTGACTCCGTGTTCGTTTCCGCATCTGCATGTACATCAGCACAATGGGCAGAGCTTGTGTCCATGACAGACCTGTGTCTGCACAGCATTTTGCTAGCTTGTTTTTTATTGTGCCGTTCTCTCTTTCCACCCCACCCCCACTCTGTGGATGATAAGCACAATGCTTTCTGATGTCCATGCCCATGTATTCTCCTATCTGCGTAATGGCCTCATTAGCAAAATGTGAACCGTTGTCGCTAGAAAATGTTTCTGGTAGTCCCCATCTAGGAATGATTTCCCTCAGTAGTGCCTTTGCCACAGCATTTGCTGTCTGTGCTTTTACTGGGAAAGCTTCAACCCATTTGGACCACATGTCAACCACCACCAGACAGTGCTTCTTACCCTCTGATGGGCTAAGCTCAATGAAATCCAGCATTAGGTGCTCAAATGGCCTGGTGGGAGGTGGATGTGCTCCGGGTCCTGTAACTTTTACTGGTCTACCAGAATTTTGCATAATGCAAATTAGGCATGCTTCACAGTGCTTTTGAGCTGTTACTGTGAACCCCCTTTTGAACCACTCCTGATTTATAGCCTCTAACATCCCCCCTCTTGACACATGATCCAACCCATGTGTCAACTTAGCAAAATGAGGGAAGAAATGTCTTGGGAGACATGGATTGGAATTTGGACCAACCCAGATGCTGGAGGTTGGGTCAAAAACAGCCCCAGCAGCCTTCCACTGAGCCTTCTCAACTGGTGTAGCGAGCTGCTGCATGGAAGTCAGTGACGACATTTTGTCAGTGAAGGAGGAGACAGGGATTTTAACAAATGAGTGTGCGTGAGGTGCGAGAGAAATCAGAGCAGCTGCCTTTGCGGCTGAGTCAGCAGATATACATTTGCGGGAAATTGGGTCTGTACTGCTTGCGTGTGCGGCACATTTACAGACTGCAACTCCAGATGGGAGCAGAATGGCGTCTAGTAAGCCTGCAACCAGTACATGGTTAAGTACTGGTTTGCCCTCAGATTTCAGAAATTGTCTACACTTCCCAAAATCGTGTACTACCCCAAAAGCATAACGTGAGTCAGTGTAAATAGTCACAGTTTTGCCTTCTGAAAACGTGCAGGCTTCAGTTAGTGCGATGAGCTCTGCTGCTTGTGCTGAGAGGTGACATGGGATTGGTCCGGAACGGAGTACAGCAGAATCTGAAACAACAGGAAAAAAAAAACATCCGATTAGTGCCCCTTTGGTCGCGAGAGGCAGACCCATCAACATACAAAATGAGGTCAGCGTTGGTCAGAGGAACGTCTTTTAAGTCCGGTCTAGGTGTGCACACAATGAGACACAGTCGTGTTCGTCACCGACTTCAGGCAAAGGCATAAGCAGGGTTCTTACACCTTTTCCAAAGTCAAATTCAAGCACTTTTCAAGCATTTTCAAGGTGCATTTTCAAGCTTTTCAAGCATCTTACAGCTGTTGTAAATTATATATTTATATGCACATACTCAAATGATTATTTCCCTACCTCACATTAAATCAGATGTTCTTTATGCTATAAACAACCAAATGTGTGTTTCGTGATAGCATTCTACACGAGGATGAAAAATTAAAGAAAATAAAACTAAGTTTAATATTTCAAAATGAGTGATCTGTACGTAGACTGGGCCTCCCATATAACCTGGCTGAGCCGA